CAGGCGCAGCGGCGGCGGCAGCACCACCATGGCGGTGGAAGAAGAGGGGCTGCGGGTCTTCCAGAGCGTCAGGATTAAAATCGGTGAGCGCGCGGGGCAGCGGGCAGGGAGCCCCCGCTGGAGCCGAGGTGCCGAGCGCCCATTCGTGCTGCCCTGCGCTCTGCGTCCCGCCAGGGGAGCGCCGGGGGCGGCGGGGCGGGCGGTGCCCGCGGCCCGGGGGGGCTCCGCGGGGGCTCCGCGGACCGTGCGGTCGGTGCCGGGGAAGCGGCCGGTGCCGCGGGGACAGGCGAGCGGCGCGCTGCGTCCGGCAGGCGAGCGGCGCCGGCGGGCGTCCGGGCGTCGCAGGATATTCAGCTGATTTCGCGGGTTTTGCTGTTTATTTTTTGGTAGGGTAGGTTTTTTTCTGTTTTTCTTTCTCATTTTTGCCGCTAAGATACGCTCTAAAAGTTTGCAGGCGGTCACCGAGTCTCAGCACTGTGTGTCACTGGCAGAGCTGGTGTGAAGCCGGCCCCAAAGCGGCCGTGTGCATGCAGGAGCCGCTGTCTCAGCCCCTTCCCTCGGCTGGGGGACAGGCAGGGGCTGCCGTCGCTTGCTCATGGCTTCCTCCGGCTCGCTCTTTGGAGATTCGCTCTTCTTGCTATTGAGCGAGTTCCAAACCACATTATTAGAAAGTAAGCGACAGATGTCAGCGAGCGGATTAAACTCTCCCTGGTTTAGTTCTGAGTGTGCCGGCTGGGAGGGAAATCCCTCGTTTCCGTAAGACAATCGGTCCCACATGCCGAGGGAGCGGTTTTCCTCCCCGGGATGAGGCGTGGGGGCTGCGAGCTGCAGGGGAAGCGCGAAGTTCAGCGGTGGGTACCGAGGGCGTGTGGCTTCTTAATAAAGCTCTTGAAAAATCTCCCTTTGCGTTTCCCTGCGTTCGGAAGAAAATTTGCAGCCACCAATTGGCGCGTTAGATAAAACTGAAACGTGAGATTACGTAGAAAATCTCATTATTGGATAGTGGTGTTAGCATTTCTAAGAGACCATTGCTAGGATCGTTTCCTCGTTAATTGTCAACAGGTAGTTTAGTTACAGCAGTTTTTAAGAGTTAAAATTGTATCATACAAACTAAAAATTATGTGTCCATTTTATATTCTCGTATACATCCATAAAAGAGATTCAGTAAGACTACAGAGTATGGTCGGAGACTTGTTTCAAAGAGGGGAGGGGAAAATAATAAAGATCTTTTCACAAGGGAGAAATCTGGACACCATGTGAGTGATATTGGAAGTTGTTTCTATCTGGTGTTTTTTAGTAAAAGGGCTGACATATCTCGCGTATAGGATGATGATTTGTGGCTGAAGTGTTCGTGTTTAATTAGTTTTTTTGAGAAGAAAATAGTTATGATCTTATACCTGAATGGTTGGAGTCACGAGAGTGTGGGAATTTCTTTGAATTATTGAAGAGATCGAAGACAATAACAACAGCAAAAGTCTTGAGATTAATCTCATTATGTCGCGCACTAAAGTTAATCCTGCTGCTAACTTCAGCTGTCGGAGCGGAACCCCTATCCGAGCTAAGCACTCGATTACTGTAGAACTGCAGCAAGGATCCCCGCTGGTTTTTAGGCTGGATAGCGAGAGGAAGAGCCGCGAGCATCCCGGGCGCAGCGGTGCTGGGCTGGTGCCGTCCTAGCGGAAGGTGTTTCCCGCAGGATGGCGAGCACAATGCCCGGCGCTGCGCAGCCGTTCCGCCGCTGCCCGGCAGGGGGCGCGCCCGAGCGCTTCCGCCAGCCCGCGCCTGCCGGGGGACGCTTACCGGCGGCTCCGCGGCTTTCTGCCACTCGTGTTCAAAAGTCACGCTCCGCTCTGGAGCTCACTATCTCCTAGGAAATTTGCAGAGAAATAGGAAGTGGCGGGATTGCTTTGATGGGTTGAGGAAGTATTCCTAATCAGATTGGCCTCGTAGAGCAATCCTAATCTTGTAGAATTTGTGTATGGGGCCTGTAGGCTCCCTACATAAAGTCCTGTGGCTGGATCTGAAGGGAGGTCACAGATTCACAGAGTTGTTAGGGTTGGAAAGGATCTCTGGATATCATCGGCTGCAAAGCCCCTGCCAAGGCAAGGTCACCTAGCATGGGTTATACAGGAAAGTGTCCAAGTGGGTTTTGAATGTCTCCAGAGAGGGAGACTCCATGACCTTTCTGGGCAACATGTTCCAGTGCTCTGCCACCCTCAAAATAAAGAAGTTCTTCCTCATGTTGAGGTGGAACTTACTGTTTCTATTTATGGCCTTTACTCCTCATCCTGTTGCTGGGCACCACTGAAAAGATGATGAACATTGGAGTGATGCTACTTTTTTCAGCTGTTCCCAATAGTACATTTCTTATAGCAGCCCCCATACATGGGTATTTTGGTTTTCTCTCTTCTAGTGACAGGAGGCTTTGAATCTTTAGATGGGTTAAGAGAAAAGTTATTTGAGGGCAAGAAGATAAGTCATTTTCTGTGTTGATTTGCTTTGATTTATCATGCTGTGGAAATAGTCACTTCTGTTCTTTGGGAGCTTGTTTCATAGCCAAGCTCTGACTGATCTCTGACTTTCAGATATTCTGTGCTTGATCTGATAAGACGTTTCCTTCTCTGTAGCACGTCTGCTGGCAAATCATGAATAGGGACACTGATATACAGGTGTGCCTTAGAATAAATTGAATGAAACGTAGGATCGATGCATTGAGGAATCAGTGCAAACAGAGTGGACACCCATGTTGGCATGCCTCTCTTAATGGCGAGGTGGATGCAGCTGGGAGGCTTCTGGCTGTGCAAAACATCTGTAGCCTAGAGATGTTTGAATGCCCTAATGCAGTGTACTGCTGTGGCTGGCTTGTCCTGTATTTCCAAGAAGCTGCAGGTAACTGAAGGCATTTTCTTCTGCTCATATAACTTGTTCTTTTGGGACTGGTGGGCTGCATGGAATTAGCCATATTTAGCTAGATGGGTAATAACATCCTGGATCTCCTAAGTGCTTCCATGTTCTGAGGAGTGTTGTTTCTAGTCATGCTTGAAGTTAGCTTGAGCCATCTGTCTCCTTTTTTGAAAATGTTGAGAATGTTTGTAGTAAGCTGTGTGTTTGCCTCACTCAGTTGAACTGACAATGGTGTGACACCTCCTAAAGATGTCTCATTGAGATGCTGAAGTTGTGGAGCAGCAATGTGAACTGTTGATGTGGGTACCAGTGTTAAGAGGAGTTGTTACTGTGCTACCTTTTGTCCAGTTTCTTTTGGGGTTAGTTGAATTGAAAGAAGTTAATGCCTGGCAACTTCTGCTCATGTTGCAAGGAAGTAATGTACAGTAGAAACAAAAAAGTAGTACTTGTGTTAATGAATGTGCTGTTCAGATGTCTAGTTGAAATTGATTTATTTTGGCTTCCCATAACTGAAACCGTTGTGCTTATGTCTTTTTTTTTCCTTAATTGAAAATTATTTTTACCGGAATCCCTTATACATAAACAAAACAATGTGTCATGTAAGACTAAACAAACACTTCCTATAAGATTGCCACTTTGAGGAAGTGTGCAGTGCTGATATTTCCATGAGTCAGTGTTTCAAAACCTGAAAGGAAACAACATAAGGCTCTATGGCTGATGATTGGCTGGAAAAACTACAAAGAGAGCCTTCTGCTTGACAACATGACTTCTGTTGTACTGTTAATATTTAATAAATATGCTGTACTTAATTGCTACTTTTTTTGTCCTTAAATGGCATCAACTGTTAAACTTCCAGTTGAGAAAATAAAAGCTCATGTTTAGTGTTTCTACTGTTGAAAGCCGTATGCTGGCTAGCAGAGAACCTGCTGCCAGATTTTACTTTGTGAAATTGTTTATACTTGAAAAATCTAAAGAAACAGCTCATTTGTGAATTTTCACTTTAGCAAGCTTTTCATGTCCCTGAAATCTAGTACTGTTATACTTAGGGGCATTTGGCTCTGCTTTAAAATAGTATTTTTTCTATCAGTAGTAGAGCTTGTTATAGTTCTGTCTGATAGTTTGAAAGTAGCAATTGGGGCAGGAGGATATTGCACACTGAGAGTTTATGGGGGCTGTAATGTAATGAGGAGGACCCTTTGCTCATCATTCTTTTGAGCTGACAGATAATAACAATCCACTTGTGAGCACTTGTTGCCATTGAAGACATTAATGAACTTCTGGAGCTTTCTTTTATCATCTTTCAAAAGGGCTGTTTTGTGGTTACAGGGTGTTGAGGTCTTAGTCTAAAATGTGGGAATTCCAGCAGCATAAGCTATCTTTAGCACTTAGTGTGATTAGAATCATGAAGCAGTGAAATATTTTTGATAAAAGTTGCCTCCTACCTGATGTAGGTTAGTGTTTCACACACAGTTTATTCTAAACTCACACAATTTTCAGGAACTGTAGGGCCTTGTCTATATCCAGTTGACAAAATGAAGATGGTTGGTGTGTAGATGTGCCATCTCTTTGCCTCTTTATTCTTAGTGTGCCTTCTTTACTAATCCACACAGAGCTATGTAGTTTAAGACACTGTGAAAGCAGTTAAATTTTGTGAAACTGAGAGTCTTGGGTAAAATCAGGCAGAGTATTTAGTTAAGTGCTAGTTTACTGGTGTTTAAGCAGGTCATTTGCCAAGAGAAGATACTTACAGGCTTCCATCATTAAACTTGGTACAGAGTAAAGGTTTGAGAGCTGTCTCTACATTTCCCAGGCTAAGAAGAAACTAATCTTGTCCCTGACAAATTTAAGGTCTCCCTTAAGTCTGATAATACTAAGGTTGTTCAGAGAAAGCAATTTTGTCTTGAGAAGATGTCCCTTTTAATGTCTGCTGGGATTTAGTGCCTTGTCTTAAGTGGTTACTTGTAATTACGACTAAATATGTTCATTGCATAATACTGTAAAAGGATTTATTCCCATTTAAATGGGGCCAAAGGTTCTAGAATAGATATTTTTAGAACGAGAGAATTTTTCTCTCTCACTACATATATATATATATATGGAAAATTATTATTTAGGAAGTGTGAAATGTTTCTTATAAAGATAACAATGTTTTTTTTCCGGTGTTTCTAAGTTAGAGGACCAAGAAGTAAAGAAAGGAAGAAGAGCTATTTGCATCTCACCCTGAATAAATTCAAGACTTCTCAAGACGTTTTCTTCACATAAAAAAGTTTACAAGTGCAGCTTAAACTGACGTTGCATAAAATAAATAAAATAACTGAAAATAATAATAGCAACTGATGTTGCATAAAATAAAAGGTAAAATAAAGTGGTAACTTAATGTTCTTATTGATTGACTGTAGCAATGCTAATTAAGGCTTGAGTCTCACAGGCTATGGAAGGTGCCGAATAAATTATGCAGATTGTCACTGCTGGCTCAGTATTTGAGTTGCTAGATTTGTTGGTGGTTATGTTCTGACCAGCTTGTGTTCAGTGTGCTCAATGGAAAAGGTCTGGGACCAGTGCTGTTTCTAGAGGCAGTGCCATGGCTGTTTATGGACTGTCAAGAGCAGCCATGGCTGGAGCAAAAATGGAGACGATATATTCTGCAAGTGAGATGAGGAAACAGATGTAGCAGTGAAAAATGCTGCAGTAAATGTAGTTTTGGAGAAGATAGTTGTGTTTGGGGCTGCCAGCCTGATATCAAATTCCATAGCTTTCCATCCCTAGCCTTACTTTCTTTTAAGTAGAGAAGGATTCATATATGAGTGGAAGCCCATGTGTTTTGGTTTTTAAAGAGTGTAGAGGTAAATTCACAGGAGTGACTCTGTTAAACAGACCTGCTCAAGGCTTCTGATGCCATTAAGCAAACTTGTTAGGTTTTCTGGTCTTCTTCTGAAATTGGTGCATTTGCAAAAACTGTTACTAATCTGTCTCATGAGAAGCAAATATCTTCTTGCTTCTTCATGAAAGTGATTACCTGGTGGTCAGAGTGCCAAATGCTCTTACATAAGGACATAAAAGTGCTGGATATCTTTCTCAGTTTTCCAGAAAATGCTTTTGAAAACTTCATTGCCTTGAATTACTCTTCAGACTGACAAATGTTTTTTGTAATTTTTTTTTTTTTTACTATTTCACTATCATTGGTTAAAACCAGATTTTTAGTTCTGAAATTGCTAGTTAGATGTCGGTATTAGCTTCTCTTGCTCTGTTTTTATGTGTCTATTCTGCCTGATGCTGTTCTTCATGTTTTGCATATTGCTTTAATTGTTTCCTAGCTGCAGTCCAAAGCATGAAATCATGATATGCTCACCCAAATTAGTACCTCGATGTTGCTGAGAATGCAGGTCTTGTCTTTCCCCTTCCCTACTCATCTTGCTGCCAGCCATGAAGTGCTCTTTGCACACCTGCTGTTGTCTGATGCTGCTCTGCTCACAGAAAAGAAAATCCAGTTAACTTTGCAAAGCAGAACCAAAGACAGCAAATTAATTTTCTTTTCAGGTTTAGTTTTTTTCCATTTTAGTGAGCTGTGCACTCCAGTGGTTGTCAGAGGTGTTTCTGGACAAATATCCAAGAGCTGGACTGAGACTGTGCGTGTGTGGGAAATCGGAGGGGACAGCAGGTGCATCCCTTGCTTTCATGTCTGGGTACTGGCAGCATCATGACACTGCCTGACACTTTCTGTGCTCTTCACTCCTTTTCCTTACAATAAGCTTTCTTGATGGTGCTGTATTTGTTACCTGCCATTACACACCAGCTTGGTCATCTGCTCTGGAGAACATATATTAAAGTTCCAGTGAGAACAGCAAGAGGATTATCTGACAAGCTGATGTATCTGTATCTCTGACCTTCTGCTTGAGAGCTACTTGAATCTCACACTCAGTTTGGGAGCCTTAGCTGTTTATGAAAGTTTAGGTGTTTTAGTTGGCATTAATAGTCACACATGCTTCCCCATTTCTCCATCTCACTTTGACTTTTAAAGCTGAGGCACCTAATGTTGATTATCATATTTATACCTAACAGAAGTCCCTCTCCCCTTTCTCTGTATCAAAGCAAGGTTTCTCCTTATGCAGTTACGTTGTCAAATACAGTGATCATATTAAGTCATTCAGTTGCACTGAACTCCCATGTTGCACTGATGCACTGGTCTCCCAATTTAGGAAGATCTCATGTAAACACTGGACAGTGTTGCCTACACCAAGATTAGAAAAACCTCATCAAAAATACTTTTGATAGTATTAATCAGGTTAAATTTCCCTCTATTCTTTCTCACTGACTGATCTCCATTACAGGAATATAAATTAGGAATAATTCAGTTAAAGCCAGTAATTGCACTTCTGTGAGAGCTAAATTAAGTCTTTGAGTATCTCATGTAGCAATTTTTTTTCTTGGAGGACGTGGGGGGGAAAGGATGAGGTAAAATCCACTTTGGGTTGTTAAGGGTTTACTTAATACCTCTCATGTTGTTACAATTCACTTTGCAAACGGATGTGTTTGGAGAATAAATCTTACAGCTGGCTCTTGTGAGAGCAAGAAGCCTAGAATAAAATCAGACGCTTGTAGACTTGGCTGAATACTGTAAAAGATGTGAGTATCAGACAGTTGCATTGCTCATATTGATCTGACCAACAAATGTTCAGCCAAATATGTAAAAGAAAAATTAATGTGTATTTGCCAGTGGACTGTTAATGCTTCTGGGGAGCAAGTCATCTAAGGCTTATATTAATAGTCAAAGCATGTATTAGTAAGTCTTAATGCTGTGCTTTTAAACTTTCTAGTACTGGAGGTTTATGTGTTCTGTGGTTACACTGAGGAAAAGCTTGAGCTTGGAGTTAATAACAAGTTATATGTTGAAAAGCTGATTGTGGACTTGCCCTTTTTAACCTTCTGATTTTACTGACATTTGCTAAACCTTATGAAGTGTCTGCTCTTTAGCAGTGTCTGATTTC